TCTTACTATTATATCCTTTAAGATTACCGTGGTCTGGAATCTTTATTTCTTTGTGACTTAAAGGTTTAGGATCAAGGTTCTTATTGGAAATCATAGTCTGGATGTTATTGAGAAGGAAGTAACAGGTTTGGCTTGAAACTTTGAATAAACCTTGTTTAATTGGAAAGGTTTAAAAGTGGCACTATGACGTACCTGGTTAATACATACCTATTTGGGTTTGATTCATTATTTGCAAGCAGAGAATTTGACTTGAAAAGTGAAAGGTACTGGTAATATGTTCTTACTTGTTCATATATTTGTTATATATATGAAAAGTTGTTTTACATAAAAGTTTTGGTGATTATCACCCTGCAATAACATAAAAAGGGAACTCATTAGACCTATCGGTCTAACCCTCATTTTATGATTTTAAATATGTATTGCAGGAGGTGCAGACTGTAAGGGAAAAAGAAAAATATGATAATTCCCTATATGTATATCTGCATGAAGATTTGCTGATGATATGTATAGTTTTGTAGATTAAACTTGATTAGTACAAGAATTGTATTTTGAATTTTTGGACCATGTATTTTGTAATGATAGATTCTTGTACTAAGGGACCTATGTGGTGTATAAACATGTATTTCTTATGTATGAAGTATATGTTACATGCAATGTGTGGAATGAGGTGTTACATTTAACATCAATAGACAATATTCCAAACTTTACACAAGTCTACAAATAAGGATATGTGCTACTAAAATCCAATAGTTGTCGTTATCTCCAAATGTAGAAAACGTTCCAATTTGTTAATTACTTTTTGTGCCTCTAAATAGTACTCATCTTATCGTGGTGATGGTAGTACCATTCCCCAAAAGGACCTGATGTACATGTCGACAAATAAAAAGTTTTAGGTTTAACGCCTAGTGAGTTCAAACAATTTTCATCATAAATATAAATGCGGTAAAACTAAAATATATTATTTAAATTACAATTCCCGAAATTAAATATATTTGGAAAAGAAAAGCAAGATTCTTTCCCAAACCCATAATTTTCGTGATGAAAACTCATTTATCAAACAACCCTTTATCATGAAATTCCGATAAATTAAGAAGTCATATAGTTATCAAAAGATTTTTTTTTAACATGGAATCAATTAGTTTCATCAAATTATCCACACATTGATAAATATAAAGTAAAACACATTAATATTTCAAAATAAACATTTTTGGCATGTAAAAAGTTTTCACAAAACAACTTGAACTCATCTTGTTAGGTTTATGTTAAATCTAGGTTTTACCCCAAATCTTGAGCTTCCTTTGGTGAAGACTTGAAATCAACAAGTTAGAGTTTAGATCTATGATGTATAGCTTCTCAAGAACACTTGCATTGATCCCAAAACATGCACAAACAAACCCAAGAGAAGAAATGAGAGTTGAGGTGAAAAGAACATAAACCTTAAGTTAAGAGATGATCGATTATAGGCTTACATTTTGACTTATAGGACCCCAACTCTTCAAGGAAACTTCAATCCTAATTGTTTCCATCTTGAAGAGATTCGAAATTGGATCCATAGCAACAAGAATCGCCCAAACCGATGAGAAATGAGCAAGATATGACCAAATGAAGAAGATCACGATTTTTAAGCACTGCAGGTCTTGCTTGACCTTGACATGTGATTGTGTCCATGGTATAATCGTGGGGCACTACCATCCGAGACATACCAAGGATCCCCCTCTCTTTGGTGATCCTGCCTTGTTATTGTTCCTAATGACACTATCGCCGTGCACTATAGTTGGCCACACACCAAGTGTTTTTCCTACTTTTCACCCATTTGAGCCTTTTTTTGCCTAAAAGATGATACCCAATATAATCTAACTTCAAACTTCTTAATTTGTTTAATCGATACAAATTGTGACCCCGATCTCGCAGATATTTCGATCCCGAATTTTTGATAAGGCTTCATGTTATTGAATAAGCGCCTTAGTATCCATTCATGTTTATAAATATTCACTTCATGTTCTTTGATCTCGAATATGTGTTATGTTTCTCGAGTATGCCAGAGGAGAAGGCTGTAAAGGATTAACTGTTTAATTTTCTCAAATGAAAAAAAGACAAAATTTTAAAGCCTTTTAGGTTTTATAAGACAAAATGGTAAATTGACCAAAATACCCCTCATTTAATTCGACTTAACAGAAAAAGGTAATGGCTGTTAGGAGGAAGGCAAAAACTGTTACGATGTATTAAATGTGAGGGACAAATCTATTAAAATAAATTTGAGGGACGAAAACTGTTGAAAGTGACAAACGTTGAAGATCAAAAGTGAAATTTACTCTATGGATAACTAATGTGTACTTCATGTGTTTTATGGACCAAATCCACTGTGTGTGTATATATATATTAGATATATTAATAATATTGTAATTTAATAAAAATTATATCCCGACCCGTTGTTGCCCCAAATGAGAAATCCCGTGATCACACTATCTTCCTCTCTTTCCTAAAACAACCAGATGACCAATATAACTTTTCAGCGAAACTCCGATGTGGTTACATCGAGACGACAAAAGGACCTATTACTCCTCCATCAGAGAGCCCCCCCCCCCCTTTTTTTATTTTGTGAATTTTGACTCCACATTCATCTTCGATCATCTTTTTTTAGAATAAAATATGATATCTTTTTTTAATTCTAATATAAAACAAAAAAATAGTGAAAAAGACGAAGTTATCCCTCATTTAACTGCACTTAACGTAAAAAGTTAACGACCATTAGACAGAGGACCAAATCCGTTGATGATTGGCAAATGTGAAGGACCCAATCCAAGTTTTTGAAGTTTGGAGACGATATTCGTCAAAAATTAAAAAATATTAAGGACCACAATCGAACTTCACTCAAAAAAAAAAAGAGGTGCCGACAACGACCCGTAGGGGAGGGAAGATGATGACTTGGAGGATAGCAATCGGGGGCAGACAATACGCAATCAGCTCCATCTTTTGGCAAGCCACCGTTATAAAGACGATACAACATTAAGGATAAACCCATAAAGACCAATACATCCTCTTTATCTGGCATAAGCTCTACAAATAGCAGTTCTTATGAAAGACAGTCGTCTGTTAGGAAGAATTCAATCTCAAGCTYAAGACTTTAGAAGGGGGAAGGTAGCAGGTCTGTTGGTAAGCCCTTGAAGTCGAGCTAGGCATAACACTTTAACCACTCTTAGGCAAGCTCCTAGCCGAGTTCCAGAAAGCACCTAGCTGTCGAGCTAGTTTTGACTCCTTCTAATAAGCTCTTAGGCAAGCTAAGCTCCTTAAGCATAACACTCAAGTTGGCAAGCTTCAAAAGTCATCTTTGAAGGCTAGATAGCGGCCTTAGGAAGCAACTTAGATTGTGGTACCAAGGRATGAAACAACTACTTAAGCCGAAATGTGCCGTTCACTCTAGTAGCTTAGACCATAGTTGAGCCTCCTACTCCTTCCCTTAGAAGGACAGTCAAAAGCCGGTGCTTTGGTTAACGGCTTCCGAAGTGACTAATCGTAGCCAACTTATTAAAGATGGTAGAGAGAGGGATGTTGGCACGATGGACAATTGATGAGTTATATAGTAGAAAGCTTCTATGTCCTGATATCAAATTTGAAATAAGTTTAATAAAAGAATACTTTTTTTAACTAAAATTAAATGAAATTAAATTGCATTATTTTGAGTGAATTTAGATAAATAATATTAATTACAAAATTAAATGGTCACTTTTAGCTTCTTATAATATTGTATACGTAATTTAATTAGAATCCTCTATTAACTATTTTAAAAAACAATTGTTTTTATATTTGTATGCAAATCATATCACTTGTCAACTTTGGTAAATAGATAAAGTTAAAATAACTGAAATTTAAGAGATAAATGAAATTAAAATCAATTTAAAGATAAAAGAAAGAATTTTAACCAAAAATAATTGAATTTATCTTCCCAAAATAAATCACAATTTGTTCCAAAATTACTCCATATTTAATTAATTTGTTTTTTCATCAATTTATAACATTCAGTTTAACCATATCAAAAATAAGATGAACAACTTTTAATGAGTTTGTAAAGTTAGTAGTTATTAATCGGTAAACAAATGACTATATATATATATATATATATTAGTATTTTGTTGTGATAATAATATGATAATACGTTGAGAAACCAAAGACATTCTTATGATGTGATTTTACTGCTATAACGACACGACAATGGAGTCATAAATCGAAAATCAATGATGATCACATCCACAATCATCCTTCTATCTATTCATTATGGGTGTATTTAATATCCAAATAAGACGTGATAGAACAAGATATGACAGAACAATTATTCAGCGTTTGGTAAGTCATGCCCGGTAAAATAATCAATTTACCCCTAATAAGTTGTTTATATATGTTATATATTTTGATTAGTTTTTGTAACTTATTAATTTATAATAGAATAAATACTTTTTATAACAAAATATATTATTAAGAAGGTTTGTGAAGATGAAGATGATTAAAACGACAAAAAATTATGAAGTTTATTAATTATCATCTTTTATTTTATACCTTTTATTATTAATATTTAATAAATTACACAAACTAACCAAAATATAAAAAACATATAAAATAATATTTTTAAGACAACAATGTAAAAGTTAAAAAATATATATATAATAAATAAAATTTAAAAAACGTAAAAAAGAAGACAAGATTATTTGAAGTATTAGAAAATAATTAAGTTTTATTTTAAAAATATAAGTTTATTCCGAGACGAAAGGCATGTATTCCACTTTATCCCATCCCATGTACTACATAAAAGTTCCCCTAACAAGAGTAAATAGTTATTTAATATTGCATTGTTCTCTTTCTAAATTAGTATACATTATGCATACTCGGTCATCATCTAACGTTGAATACCTCTGGATACGCCAATACTGGTTCAGACTGACCTGTGTGGGCATGCTTTAATTTGTGATTTTAAACCAACTTGCTTCTTCTCATCAATAGAAATGTTGTCATCTAAACTCCTAAACGTTTAAATTCATTAATCAAAACAAAAATCCCGAGATTGGATTTACATACATAAATAAACGACGTCAAAAGCCGTCACCATTATTTGGATCTCGTGGTATGACAAATCCAATACGGTCACGAGTCTAGTTTCGTTCATACATAATATAACCTCAAAGACATTTCACCCCCTTCCTCACGAATGGTGGCAGCGCAAACGCAGCTCTATGCATCTGTGTTACAACACATAATAATTTCATATGTCAAATTCAAGATTGAATAGAAAAAAGAAATGGTCAAGGATGTCATTGCAACAATACAAGTCACCTGTGAATTGTAGAATCTGACTTCTCTTTGATGCTCAAGAGCTCCTTCCAGCTTCTCAATAGGGTTTACAGGGTTCCTAAAATCAACAGCCGCTCCCTCCGTTGAGCACAGTATAAATCCAATGACACCGCTGCATAACAACACCCACACATTAAGCAAATCCCTTTTTTCTTTTTCGTATAAAATGCAATCGCACCTTGGATATGTGGGGACACTTGTCCATGCGTAATGAACACTTCCCTTGAATATTTTACGGCAAACAGAGATCATATCCTCAATAAGATGAGTGTGAAGCCACATGCTCTCTGCCATGTTACAAAGAACACCACCAGCCCTTAACGCTCTTGCTATCATCTCAAAGAATGGCCTTTCCACAAGCTCCTGAGCAGGACCTAAATCAGACAAATTCATATCCATGTGTGTCGATAACATATCCTTGAAAAAAAAAAAAACAATAGACACATTATGGATTTAAGTACATACCCACAGGATCAGAAGAATCAACGATAATGGCATCATATTTCCCTTCTGGTACATTCCGTATAAACTCAACAGCTGTTGAAATTAGAAAACAAAGACTTAAAAACGAGCAATGTATACTATTTTTTAAAATGATTAACATAATAATTGCAGGTGACGGAAGCCACACAAACAAAGTACGCCGTGGTCAAATATTACCATCACCAACATGGAGATGAACACGAGGATCCTCAAAGCCAACAGCTAACTCAGGAAAAAACTTCTTACTAACCTACAATCAAGAAATTACACAGAAGATCAAATAAAGAACCAAAAACTAATACCCACATACAGGAGATGGTTTTTCACCACATACATCTATGACCATCTTATCTATTTCACATATGTCAATTAACTCTACAGAGCTGTGACGAGAAATTTCCCTTAGGACCCCACCATCACCACCTCCCACGACCAGAACCTGTAAATAGAACAAATTAGTTTTAAGCATAACATTTCTTATAAAATGGAGAGAGATACCAACAGCAAGAAACAGAAAGATGCTTGCATTTTTCGGTGATTTGATGGAACAAAGGGGAAGATGGGCTATCATCTCCTGATAGGCGCATTCATCTTTCTCAGTCAGCTGTAGAATGCCATCAAGAACAAGAACTTTTCCATATGTTGCAGACTGCAAATCAAATAAGCAATTACACATATATATGAGGGTCCGAGAATGACCTTATTTTTAAGACAAACGACCAAGTAATATTTGTCAAGGTTGAAATGCCATACCTCAAAAACCAGGACCTCTTGATACTCTGACTTCTCTTTGAACAAAATCTTTTCTACGGCAATGGAATGTGCTTCTCCTGCACAAAGAAAATACACAAGATTAGCCCTTACACCATTGTATGTGGATTTGTAGTAGTCCTCCCATCCCATGGGAGTTGCAACACTTCCCTCCTTGGGATGGCCTATGGAAAATGCAGTGTTTCTTTTTTCGAGGAGTCCTCATGTTAAAATGATGATATTGATTTGCATTCACAATATTCTTCTGTATAGTATTTATTCAAGGATATTTTAGACATTTGACAAACTATCAACAAATTTTATGTGAACCATATACCAAGTCAAATAATGTAGCTTTCATGCAACATATAGAGTATTAGTTAGTCCCTTCAAAAGGTGAATAGCATTTTCAAATAAAGTACATCCTCCATCACATGAAAATTGCAACAATTAATTCTAGATACGTAGTTGATAAGATCTTTTTATTAACGGTCAAATGTCTACCATACCCTGTAATCTTGACAAAATAGGGTGCAAACATTTTGATCAAAGTGTTGGTTCTCAATAAAAGCATATTTTTGTGGACCTAAATCAACACAACAAGTACACTGCATAAGGAAAACTGGCAAAAGATTGGTCCATCACTTAATAAAGGACACCTCAGAGATGAAAATAGAGCAAATTCCATGGGAATAAAACTCAAAAGGGAGTACTCATTTCTTGAAAATATAACAAAGAAGTAACTCACAATTTGCAGGGAGAGTAGTATACTTATTTCAAGTGATATAAGAAGATCTACTAGATCTTCTTCATCATAGTCACGACGTATTCTGATACTTTACTTGAAAACTTAATCTAAAAGCATTTTGCTTGTCCAACCGTTTTTTGGAACTGTCAACAACTCACGTCTTTAAAGAGACAAACTCACCACCTAAGGGTTGTTAGTTACTTGTCCAACTAGTACCAACAGTTGATGCTCTAGCATTACCAAATTAATAAATATGATATGACCTAGTTCAACTTCCCAGCAAGTCTTTTAGTCAGTCTTTAACAAAATTCACTCTCTTTTAGGATCAACAAGTAATTGTTATACAACAGAAGAACAAATATAAATGACACCAGGACTTCAGTGCAACGTTTCTTTAATACAATAAAGACCATGTTGCAATGATCATACTACATGCCCAAAAAAACACGATACCAAGTGTACATACCTGGCCACATGGGGTTGTTGAAGTACATTCTTTTGGCTACATCATCTGCAGTTAAAACATAATGAAAAGGGGTGAACAATGAAAAGCCAAAACTGAACCACTTACTGGAGTGGTGTTAAATGACACGATTCTATGAAAAATTACCAAAGATTAAACACAACAGCATGTAGCGTAATAACAAATGCATGCAAAGAAGTGAAAGAAGAAAGATAATTACCAGAAGATCGACTTTCAGAGAACCATCCAGAAACAACTGTTGCATGGCAATTAGCTTCAAGCTCAGGGTCCGGGGCGAAAGCCCGGGCTTTCAGGCAACAAGGAGGGATATCAGTCCGACCGCAGTCCTCATTCACCTTCCCATCCATTGTCTTCTGGCATCTTAAATCTCTTACGGCATCTCCCTCCATATATCCTCCTTTTCTTCTCTAGCTCCAGCCTCTAACCACAATAACATGAAATCATTACACATATGATACCTTAAATAATAATATAACATGAACATGAGACAAATCAGACCATGAAAACTGTAATATAAAGATGAAGGAAATTAATTCCAATAAGATAAACAAATGGAACAATCAATTTTACTTCTTCCATTCCACAATTAAAGTACATATTTCAAATTTCAAATTTCAAATTTAGAAAGATCAATAGACATGTAACTCCTAGGCAAAATAGATAAAAGCACACTTTTCTCAAATTACATGCTATGAGGATGAGCAAGAATTATATATCAACGACACACTCAATACTTTCACTCAAATTAAATATGCCATTTGAGACCTATTTTTTAATCCAAATAAATTAACATGATAGGTCAAATTGGAACAAGGTGAAAGAACAATTTGAACAAAAGAACAATGACATCTCAACCATTATAGATGATTATGTAAGGTAATTTCATTAAAATTGAACAAAAATCATGTAGTTGATACCATAATCGAAGTACAATTATGTATATAATTGTAAAAAAAAGTTAAGAGCATGATGACGGATTTATCTATTTTGGCTTAAAAACTACGCCACCATTTTTAAGATATACAAAAAAATAATTAACACATGAAAAGGGTATAACATAACAGCACAAAGTCATTAAAGTTTTCTCTTGACCGCTACCAAACTAGTGAAAACACAGCTAGGAATTAAAAGATTAGGGAAAACGAGCACAATGACTGAAATTCTAACTACGACGATTCACCAAGATGCTAAACAGACGATTTCTCCCATCAATCGACGAAAAAAAACGTAGATACAACCATAAACATTCGATTAAAAGAGATGAAAAAGTCAAAAGATAGATGAAAAACGTCGAATTGAAGCGAAACAGAAGATGAAATCATACCTGTGATAGCGTCAGTTCCGATTATCTCAATGTCTATGAATATACGTAATATATGTATATATATAGTTTGAGGCAAGAAGGAGGCGAAGAAAGAGAGAATCGGAAGACGAAGAAAAGCAAGACAGTCGCGCTACTCTCTGCTCGTACCGTCTTGGGGTTTTTTTCTTCGTTGGAGACGATGAAAATGGTGGAACGGGATGCACGCATGGAAATAGGTGGAGTGGTTTGTGAAATGACGATTTTATCCCTGGGTATAGATACAAAATATTATATTTAATTCGTATTTACTATTTTCCTTTTTTATAAGAATATAAATAAACAAAAACTATGCATTTTGTATAAAGATAACGGTTGCAAGTGTATAAATAAATGGTGTATAATAAATAAGCATAAATGGAACTTTTAATTGTATTTCAACCGTTACTTTTTTTTTGGTTATGAGTTGGGTATTTCTTTTATAAAATTAAAATCAAATTGATACTTATGATATAATATCCGTGTTTCGTTAACTCGTACAAATTGAGTTAAGTGAATTTTTGGTAGAATTATGCATAATATATTTGTACCATATGTTTAACCAATTTGTACCCTAGACTAGTTTTGCGTCAAAAATATGCTTATACCTATATTGACGTAAAATTGAAAATCTAACTTCAAGGGTTAAAACCATTAAATAGTTAAATTATATATATATATATATATATATATATATAATTAAATAAAAAAAATTAATTATATATATATACACATATGCATATGAGAGGCGGTTATCACCGCCATTCTCTCGCTTAATCTCTCATCTCTTTTCTCTTTCTAAAAATCTCTCGTTTTCTCTTTAAAATTTACGTCAAGTTAGTAAGAGGATCGAAGTAACAATTATATATTCGGAATCCACTCTCCGAAYCYTTCTTAAAGGTATAAGTTTCATTCAGTTTCATTAAGGTGTTTATGTTAGGGTTATTTAGACGGGTTTATAAACTGTGTTTATATCTAAGTTTATGATTGATATTGTCATAATTATGATATATTTCATGTTTAGGATGCTAGGACTAGTTATATTGATGTAGAAATAAAAAGTGTATATTATAGTTTCAATATGGTTAGATTTGGGTAAATGTTTAACCGTACACCAATTGTTCGGTTAAATGTCGAAAAGAGTAAAATGCATGATTAAGCTTAAGTTAACGACCATTGGACTTGTTTTACTGTTTAGTATGTTGAAGTATGTTTATAGCATGTAAATATAGCAAATCATGAAAGTTGGATCATAAAAGTTAGTCGGGAATTACGGAATCGAATTTTACCGACAATGTAACTCCCGTACTTTGACAGTGTATAACTCACAAACCGTAAGTCGGATTAAGCTCGTATTTTGCAGTCAGGAAGACCATACTGCATACTACAACTTTCATTAAGGGTCAAAATTCCAGTTATGACTCTAAGTGGCTCGAAACAGTGTGTTTTTGAGGCTGTTTACAATGTATCCGGAATTAATTTACAGTTTTGTAAAATTCATATAAAATAGATGGATGATCGAAATGATATAATTCCAAAAGCAATAGACTCGTATGATACCAACCTATAACTTTTATTTAGACAATATAATCTGGATTGGTCTCTAGGTAAGGTGAAAATGTTTAGAAATAAGAGGGACGGAAGCGGTTGGATCGAAAGAGAATATGGTTAAGTTTTACGTTTGAGTTTTCAATTCGTATCCAACTGTCCTTCTTGAGGTCTACGCTGTTTAAGTAGATTAAGACCTAAGTAATTTTATTAGAATARTTATATTATGGTTTCTATRCTTTATAAATAGTAACCGTTTATGCATTCGTTAGGCACGCGGACAAATCAAACTTGATCGTGAATTTCCGTTTGATCGTGCGTTAATTGTCAAATTCRGTTAAGGTACGGATTTCATATCTCACTTGACACGGGGATAGCCATTTGCGTAAGGCTTCCTAATCCGRATAATYTGTGATAAATTCCGAATAATTTGTTCTGAATTTCCTTTATGCTTATCAWATGTTATTGAACTTTGTTTCCTTTTGAATTACGACTTATATTCTTATTCGGAATATGGATCATTTTGATCACTTGACTTGTTTTATTGCTTCATTTGTGAAACATTTTACTATTAGACTCAATAACTGGAGCACCGGTATTGAGATGTTTCCATGGTGACTAAAACGATCATAGCGTCCTYATTTTTATAGTCCTTAAAAGTGGACTTGATTATGTACCGGTCGAATAGAGGGCGTATGGATCRATCCTAGGAACCGTTATCGGATATTGAATTATGGCCGTGGTTAAATTCACGGAGAGGATTGATGTGTTATGCTCACACCCCTTTCCTCACTTGTGCCTGAATGGACTGATCATCCTTTGGGAACAATGTGTCCTCGTGATGCGGTTTGGTCTTCGGACCCTTGATATGCTTTTGGGGCATTTTGACTTTCTTTTGAATTATCACTTGGCTTTATAAATTGTTTTTGAACTTGTTATCTCATATTCATTGTTTATTTATGTTATTATCCGTTCACTGAGCATTAAGCTTACCCGAGATTTTCTTGTCCTCGGCAGGTACATGACTTAGCAGAGATTTTGGGATGAGAGTTATGGAGATGATAATATTGAAGATAACCCATTAAGTCATACTTTTGTTAAACTTTTGATGACTAATGTAGACATRYTRATATTTTGGGACCGTATTTTGAGACACGTTATCTCCGTCTGTGGTTATGTAATTATCTTTTGGTAAATTTTATTAGCTGCTCTGGTTTATATAATGCGTTATTTTTTTTTAACCACTTGTGGCATCTCCCGTCTTTGACCACGTGGGACGGGGGTGTTACATATGATTTTTATATTTATATTGGGAAATATTAGTTTTTATGCTTAATGATATTATTTATACTATATTATAAAACATTTGATAAAAATTCTTAAAAACCATTATTTATGCATGAACTACTGTTTATTGATGTACTAGTTGTATGCCCGCACAATAGGGCGGGAAGTAAATTATTATAAGTGATTATGAAATTAAGCTAAAATGGAAAGTAAAAGAAAATGAATATGCTGCAAGAATGATGATATGTATATTTATCGTATTATTTTACTTGCTTTTACATTCCTTTCAATTAATAACGTTTGGAGATAAATAAACCATTGATACTCATCTTAGAGATATTGGAGCATATTGATTTGAGAGTTTGGATATTATCGATTTCAAGAGTTTGGAGCATAGTGATTTCAGGTTTGAAGCAAATTGTCTTATGAAATCGAACTCCGATGACCTTAAATTGTAATCTTAAATTAATTTCGATTGATGGTTTGAAGTTGCTCATTTACGAAGGCATGATCCCAAACATGAAGTATGTCATCCCACTTTTGCACAATGTCGTTGTTAATGGGATAAGATATATCTATTCGATGCCTCAAGTTCAAATAGGTTTAACCAACAACATTATCCTGTATGAACCAGGGACAAAAGAAACATTTCCATAATTAATGATCAACTGATAAATAGCTACAATAGTAAAACAAGAGGTTATCACTGATTGGATGATTCATTGCAACCGCCAGTTCCGCCATCACCACCACCACTTTCGTTGATCCGAGTATGGCCGGAAGTGAGTTTCTTCTCCGCCAGTTCCGCCATCACCACCACCACTTTTGTTGATCCGAGTATGGCCGGAAGTGGGTTTCTTCTCCAAAACATCTCTCCTTAACATGCTGCCTCTCCTCTACCATCCCCCTCAACTTGCCTGATGACCCTCCTAAACTGCCCTTGCTTCCACATCGTTCCATTGCAACCGCCAGTTCCGCCATCACCACCACCACTTTCGTTGATCCAAGTATGGCCGGAAGTGGGTTTCTTCTCCAAAACATATTAAGGAAAATTGATATTTGTTACTACTACTTACCAAGATTATATTAACTATAAACACTAATAAAGTTTCCATAGATAATTTTGTTTCTGTTTCTGATTCATCATCTTTGCMTTTCTGTTCTAAGTTACTTCCAAGCATATTGCTTTCTTGGCATCACAATCCCTCCTCAAAGTTCTTTTAAAAATATTTGAGTTTTAGTTTTGGAACTGTATATTGTATCATGCATTTCATTGGCTCTCTGTTATGAATCAACATTCCTTCTGTTTTTATTATTCTCAAATGAGTTCACTTTTCCTTTTATAATGTGATGCATTTTAAAGTTGGAAAATTGAAAAATTAACTATTGTTAACTATTGGAAAACATGTAGCCATGTATATTATATTAGTGGAGATGCATGGAAGGAAGGAGGCATTGATGCTACTGGTAAGAATTATCTGCATCTTCGCACTTAATATATACTAACTCAAAATTATATTGGGACAAAAACAAAAATAAAATAACAGTGGAGCAGGATAAGTGAAGTAACATACCACTGCTTTCTATCTCCAAATAGAGAGTTTTTTTTTTCAGAATGCTAAAATTACATTCACACATTCTGTCCACATATTTTCCATTATGTATTATTTAACTTACGTCATTGTATAGCCGTTTTCCCTTACGGAACCATAAAAAATGCTAATAGCATTGGGGCTTCATCATATTGAACTGGTTGGCCATATTAACAAGGCTTCGGTTTTTAATCTGTGGGTTGAATTTGTTATCTTTTTGTGTGTTGTGAGTATTTTACACTAAATCACATAACAATTAGTAATATTTCTTGGATGTGAAAGAAATGTTGTTTTGATGAAGATTATAAACTATTAATTATGATTGTATAGGAAATGTTGCTTATGATCCTGCTACATATGATAAATGGGTCTTACAAGTTACAATTTGATCAAATGGTGTGCTGACATGAAAAAATCTAGATTTCATATGAATAAATCTATTGAGCTGTCTCTGATACAAATGTCAAGCACGCTGTAAGCTCCAATAGACTAATTTCTAGCAAATTAGTCAAACCTGGATCACTTGCATAAGGAGATTAGTCCATTCATGATATGGAAGCACTCATGATCTCTATCAACTATCATAGCGTTTCTATGACCTTTTTGACTTTTATCTCTTCCCTTCTTCCTGTTTGCTATCTGTAATATCTTCTATGACACTAGCTCTGCCAAGCATGCATATGTATGACATTATGAGTCTCTTTTTTAATATTATTT